CTCCGGCCGTGGATTCTGGAAGAAGGTGAACCACGACGCATTAGATGTAGGCCTGAAGGCAAGCCGCATCTTTCCTGCCTTTTACTACCACGAGAGAACAAAGACCGTAAATCATTACCCAGCCGGGGGTGATCGTGTCGATTGGTGCGATACGCATATGCAGATCGCGATTGTTTCGCACAGGCGATGAAACCAGACTTTCTGCTCAAGGTCCTGTTTGCTTGTTCCTATGAGATCTCAAGGGCCAAGTTGTGTGAGCACATCTGTGTGTATGACCTAGCTGGCATACGATGCCGCATAATTAATGTACAAAGTGTACATAATGGGCCGGAATACCAGCGCCCATGACGCACTGGCTTGTTTTGTTCGAAGAAGATAGCAAGTACGCATCTTTTATCACTTAGCTTGCGTAGTTTTGTAGGCATGTAGCCCAAACTGACTAGAGAGCAGGTTGAGTGTGAATCTCACCATGTTGTCAGTCATGTCTACCTAGATCAGTTTGTACAGTATTGCATGTGACTACGGCGCCTTGAGTCAAGCCCAAAAGGTTTCGCAGTCTTCTTGTAACTATCCTTATTATTACCGATAAAAGATTTTGACTCTATTGAGCTTCATCACATTTCCCGATTGTTGAAAACCAGTCAAAGTGTGTGTGTGTGTGTGTGTGTGCTCGAATTTTTGGAGCGTGTGTGAAGTCGCGCTGAAGTGCCTTTTTGGGCGTTTTCTTGCCATTCAGTTTTCATGTACTCCACTGCAAGACGTCGAAAAATGCAGCATGGAGACAAGGGCACCGTCACTTGTTTGCAGCGGGGTCAATGCCGTAATGGCATTTTTTAATTTCCCATTTCTCAGCCCATGCTGATGCATGCCCAGCCGAAGCACATTTGGCTCAGCATGGAAGACATTTTGCTAGGGATGCAAAGCGTTCATAGGTCATAGTTTTTTTGAGTTAGGGCACCATTCCGGGTTTTCCAGTGTTGGAAATTGCAATATCAGATCCGCAATTTTGGGCAAGACGCAGAAAAATTCACTAGTGCTGTTGGGTTGTGATGCCCCTACGCATGCCAAAGGTTTAGTTCGTGCAAGTGTTGACACCTTCGTTATTCGTTTAGCCGGATTTTCGTTTGCCGCTATTGCAGCATCTTTGCCATGAATTCGTGCAGTGCCAAACCAATGCAGATGTTGGAAGGAATTGAGCAGGCCGGCTCATTTTTTTCCAAATACACCATGTGATTTAGCTTGTTTGCAGGATTCGGACGCAGAGACCGTTCCGGGAATGTTGGAGGAGTGTTGATCCGTTCGAGCCCAACTGCTCTGTGTTGCTGGACATATTTGCAGGAGCCGGTTAATGCCTTAAAATTGTTCGAGACGAGGTCTGCTTGTACGATGGGTTGCTGTCAATTGTTTGCAATTTGGTTGCACCATAAAACATTCAACTGCCCGTGAGCCGTGGAGGTTGCATGAGAAGACATCGTCCCATGAAATTTGTGACGAGGTTCGGCCACATGGAATCTCGTTCTGTATGAGTATGCTGCAATCATGTGCAATCGAGTAGCTTTCAACTTAGATGGCTTGACAAAACAGGCCACCTCGACCTTGCTGAGCAGCCGCGTCCTCATTGCTTGGCAAGTCTTCGCAGCGTGACTGACGCATCGAAGCTCACAGCACGGTTTGAGGGCGCTCGTTGTGGAAGAAGGCTTTTCTTAATGACTGCAACAGTTCGCTTGTGGGAGAGTGTGCTAGGGTGTGCAGGCTGAAAGCATTGCCGGCCAAAGTTCTGGTCGAAAATACCAACGTCTGCAGTCCCAATCCTAGCCCTCTCTGCTTGATGGCTGTGATTGTGTTTCACGTTTCAGCATCGTTCTCTGCAGGCCACACATGCAGGTTGAGAGCATGCAGACAGTAGTTTTCTGCGGAAGCGACTTGAAGGGGTCAGCCGCAGGCTTCGTGCTGAGTGTGAGTCATCCATGAGAATCCATCATGAAGCTTGGGTGCAGTAGGTTTCAAAGGAATATCCGGACAAGTACGTTGCATTCCAGTCGAGGAGTGTTTGATTCCACAGAACAGCTTTGCCATCCACACAAGAGGCGAGTCCTGTGTTGCAGGATCCCAGGGAGGGTCTCTCGTACATGATGTGCAGTTTTTGCTCCGGCGACCGCATCTTCCAGCAGGCATGGCAGACGTCGCGATTTCTCTATGAGTGTCATGATACGCGACTCAGGTGTCTGGTTTGGTGCAACATTTGGAGAGTGACAAGCTGAGGAAAGGTTTGTGCAGAGCAATGTGAAAGCAGTGAAGGTAGGCAGTTGACTTCCCAGGTGGCGAGTGTCCGCTGGGCCAGAAGGATTCGAACATCATTTCTTGCAGAGATGTTCCTGAGTTTTGTGGAGGAGTTGATGGAGGCTTGTCGCTTGCAACTTATGCCGAGTGGCGCAAGCAGCGCCAACGTCCGTTTGTGCCCCAAAGCGGGCAGAGAAGCAGAGAGGAGGAAAATAAACATTTTTGGGTTTCGCCGTTTACCTCTCAGGTCTGGTGCCTTCCTCTTCTGAGGCCGGTGGGGCTTTTATGTGAGGACACCTGCCTAAGCCCTAAGCTCAGTGACTCAGGATCACGATTCGCAACGTGACCGCATCGCCAGCTCCGTCAACCTGCAGAACAAGGCCATTGGTGCTGTCAGCCCACGGCCGGAAGTTCAAACACTTGCTTTCTCTTCTGCAAGGTTGATGATGGCTGGGGCCTCACTTGAGCAGTTTCGAATTTTTCAAGGCTGCATTGTGTAGGTTTCAGCCTGCGACGAAAGCTATTGTCAGAGTTGCGGATGCTGCAACCTGCTCGGTGCGCTGCGTTGTATGTCAGTGCGTTTGTCGAGAAACTGTTGTTTCAGCTGCTACCCTCTGTCAGGTATGCAGAACTTGCGACTGAACCTGCTGGCCTGCTTAATCGAACTCTCCAGGATCCGGGAATCTAGTGTGGAAAGGGCAGCGGCTTTGATCCTGCTTCCATGGCGGTGACAGGAGATGTCTATCCTTGTCCAAGCAGCTCGCAAGAGGCACCTGACAAAACTGAGAGCACCAATGTGGCAATGCCTGGATGACAGAGGCCCGAAGCACCCGAAGGTGCCGCAGCTGGTGGTTGGAAGCCTGCAGAATCTGCCCGACCAAGCTAGAAGCTGGAAGGTGCTCAGACGAAGCGCTTGCGATCGAAGGCAAGGCAAAGCGGAGTGAACTCTGTGGGTTCCGCTTAGCACCACAGCACCAAGCGGAGTCCTAGCGTCGGAAGGTGAACAGATGTGAAATCTGTGAGGACCTGGCAGCTCCTATGGCTCGGCGCGTGTTGAAGGCACGGGATGCTCGGAGCACAACTTTTCTTCTACGAAGCGCCAGAGATGTTTGGACTGCCTGACGCGTAGACGTGTGCAGGGGCCACAGCGAGGCTTCCTGGAAGCCCTGGCTGGCAGGACGGATCTGCGCTGCGCGCTCTTGTCCAGCAAGGGCTTAGCAAGTTGATGTGCAGGCTACGCAGTCAGGGCATTTCCATTAGCTCACCCTTCACCTTTGAGAAGTATCGCTCCTTCTGTGAGGCCATGGTTGACACTTGCGCACATGTAATTAATCCATGCCGTGCTCCTGGAGGTGGTCTCGCCGTCGCCCACAGATGTGTAAACGCAAAAGAAGGAGCCGCGGGGTGGGAAAAGCCCGCAGTCCCTCCCCCTCTCCCCCCTCTCCCTCTCTTTTGTCGTGCGAGGCTTCCCCGCGACCGAAAAGAAAGTTCCTGTGGAGACTTTGGGCTCCAGCCAAGACTTAGTTGATCCTAGCGCATGAGTCCCTCTAGCATCATATTTCTCAAGTACCCATAAGTACCCGTTCTCAAAGGACAAGGGCTTGGTACGTAGGTTTCCGCATTTCCCCATGGCCATGGACGAGCATCGGAGCGTAATATGCCCATTTGGAGAAGCTGGCAGAGTTCTAGATGTGCCCTTGAGCTGTGCTTTCCCCAGAGTTTTGTTGCAAGCAGCGAAAAACTCAGCTGTCATGAAGCTATTGTGAGGCCGTGTCCAGGCCGAACCGCTGCACGCTTCTGCTCAGGCCCAGAGCCCTGAGCTGTTTCGTGTGGCCTCGTGAGGCAGTCTGCGTCGTCCTCCTCATCTTGATCTTGTGCCTCGTTTGCTCCTGCCTTTGGCGGAGCTGCTGGAAGGTCGCCTGTCTCCCCTGTGAGATCGTGAGATTGGTCTGTGAGAAAAAAGCCAGGGCAAAAGCGCACCTGCCAGAGCCCTCCCAGAGCCAGCAGCCCAGAATCCGCTTGAAGAGCTTTGCTTTAAAAACTCTTCAAAGGAAAGTTTAACCCTCCGGGTTCAGTTCCGGGGGTGGTTTTATATGGTAATTTACAGAGCTTCATGTTTTTGAGGGTCGAAAAAAACACTTATTGGGAGTAGTTTCTGCAAGGGACCCTGGAACTCCTAACCA